GGGCGCCGCGGGCCCCTGGCGACGGAGAGGTGCGGAGGCCCCGCTGCGCCCCGAGTCCGGGCTGCCGCTCGCCAGCGGGCGTCTGTCAGGACCCCAAACCCCGCGCAGGCGACTCCAGCGCCTGACGCTGCTGCAGGACCAAGGGGACCCCGGCCCCGCCCCCACGGGGCGGCCTCAGGGAGCGGCGGGGCCACGCGACCCCCGCGTCCCTGTCAGTAAAGACCTCAGCGGCCCCGACTTTTGCAGAGCTGGGAGCTGCCCCTGCGGGTCCCCGAGGCCGCACCCAGGGCCCTGGCTGTCTCCCCTCCCCCTTGGCTCCCGTTAGCACCGCCCACGCCGCCTGAGCCGGTTCCTCTTGGGGCGGAGACTAGAGACAGCGCGGTGCAGGGACCCGTCACAGCGGAGAGGCCCGGGTCCCCGTGTGCCCTGGCTGGAGTCACCTGGCTTCGTGGCCCTGGAACAGCATTCCCAGGGGATCCGCATAAATGCTTCGTTCCCTTTCATTTTGTAGTTTTCAGAAAGAGTTACTTCCTGGACGCCTCTGAAAGTGACCAGGTCACTTCTGAAGGCCTCGACTTTGGCTCGGCCGCCGTGTTTCCACCCAGCGCCAGGCTGGCCACTTTAAACTGTGCGTGACCGTGACCACGACCGTCCCGTTAAGGACAGGGCGTGTGACCGTGACTGTGACTCTCCCGTTAAGGACAGGGCGTGGGGGGCCCCGAGGGCCAGAACGACCCACGGCCCCGTCCGCGCTTCAGTTCTGGGAGTCGCCCCGAGTGGCTGACTGGAGAGCGGGTCTGAATGGGAGCCGCGGGAACGGGGACACTGTGGAACCAAGGAGCGGACGTCCGGAGCCTGCCCGCCGCCCACGGTCGCCGCGGCTCGGTGGCATGCGGTGCGTCCTTGCGACGCCATGCTCGTTCTTAAAGACGGAGCGGCTTTCAGCTGCTTTATTGAGGTCCGACGTGTGCGTTCAGGGACCTCTCACAAACTGACACGGCTGCGTGGCCACCGTCGCCCCTGAATTTCCCTGGGACCCAACAAGTCCGCTCCAGGAAGCGGAAGCTGGTGTCTGAACAAAAGCTGGCACGCGAATGCTGGCAGCCGCCCAGAGGCGGACACGACTCGAAGGCCACCAGCCGTAGCGCACACAGTGACGGCACCGGCCACTGCTCGGCCCGAAAAGGAGCCAGCGACACACGCCACAGAAACGGCGTTCGTACAGGAAGCCGGACACGGCCACCGCAGACCGTGGGACCCCGTCCACCTCAGTGCAGAGCAGGCCCATCGACAGAGGCAGACGGTGGATGGTGGCCCTGGGATGGAAGGGGGAGCGGTGGCCTCTGAGTGGGGACATCGCCCTTCCAAGATGAAAAAGCCCTGATACTAGGGGGTGCTGGGGGCCCCCAAACTGCACGTTTAAAACGGCTGGAGCGGCCAGTCCCATGTCACGTATATTCTGCCACAGCGAAGCGAGTCGACAGCTGTTTCGATGGTCTTTGAGAGACAGTGCCATACGGTGGGTCGGCCCCAGATGTCAGACGTGGGACAGTGTGATGGCAACTCGGACACGATCTCGCTCTGCGACCTCGGCCAAACCTCTTCGCACCGTCCTGGAGGCTGGATGGCCGAGGTCAAAGTGTCGCAGGGCAGTGACGCTCCAGAGGCCCCATCCTGGGCGTGTGGACGCCGTCCTCTCGCTGTGCCTGCTCACGGGTCGTCAGTCGCACTGGGCCAGGGCCTCCCCAGTGGCTCCTTTCACTCTGAGGCCCCCTTTAACGACCCTGTCTCCAGACACAGCCACATTGGGGGTTAGGACTGCACCCTATAAATCTGGGGGACACCATCTGCCCATGCCAGCTCGCATGTACCAGGATGCCTGCCGTAAGGAGGAGCTGACTTGGGGGTGACTTGGGAAGGCCTGAGGCCTCCCTGTGGAAGAGGAGAGAGCCGCTTCCCGTAGTGGGGATGGGGGAGTCACGGCACAAGGGACAAGCCAGGGACACAGGACAGCAGCCAGATGGGACACAGCCGGGAGGTGGGGGACCCGAGTCATGCCCGTGGAGCATGGGGACGCCTGGACACAGCCTGGCGGCCGTGCACCTCCACGGTGTCCCTAGCTCCTGCCACCGTGCGCTCCTGCCGGGCGGTCCCCAGGGCCAGCACGGGTCCTCACGCGGCACCAGGATGCCGGCTCTGCACACGTCAGCATCGGCAGAGGCCTCGTTTCCCCAGCAGCTTTTCAAAGAGGTTACAAAACAGGGAGTGAGCCCTGTGGGGACCCAGGCCCCTCCCGCCTTCCTCCGTGTAAACAAAGAAACGGCCAAGTGGAGCCGGCTCCAGGGGCGACGGCGCGGGCCGTCCATCACCATCCGTCATTTTTATTTCTGAGCGACGAGCGATCCCAGCTGGGCCGACTCTTCCCCGCTGGCCCGTCCACGTTGTCCCCACCACGACTGGATCTGGCATGCCCCGATGTTTGTTTCAACCTCATAATTAAAGAAGAATGTCAAGCGAACAGCTCGACTCTATTCCAAACGCTGCAAAGAGCTGGAAAAATGTAACCCCTTGAGCAAAGCTTAGGAAGGGAAAAAACACATCTACAAATAACAAACTTGGAAATAACAGAGCATTTTATTTGGGGCCCGTACAGCTTTCCTAGATCGTTTCTTGCATTTTTTTTTTTTTTTAACGAGGAGTCTCTGAAAAAAGAGGTCACTGTCATAACCATTCCAGAATCACCATTAGAAACCAAAAACGGAGTACGCACGAGGACGATGACCGAGAGGGTCTTATTCAATCTCTGTTAGGACCGTTTCATAGAAGCGGCTGATGGGTGACACCGAAACGCGCCACACAGGTGTCCCCGTGCCCTGGTTTGTGCCCAGTCAAGGTTGTCTGCCGGTGTTTGATGCGGGGGGTGGGGGACGCTTGTCGCCCGACCGACGGGCCCAGCATCATGGCCTGAAACCGCAGCAGCCGGGGGGCCCCGAGCTCCGGTACCGCTGACGAGGAAGCTGAGGCGTTGTCCCCGGCTCAGGGGCTGGCCGCCCGGAGCTTCGGAATCTGTTGTTCGCTGCGAAGCAGGTGCCTCCCCAGCCTGTCCGGCCCCGCACGGCCCGGCCCCACCGGGGAGGCAGAGAGAACAGGCTGAGGGGACAGTCTCCGGCCTCCAGTGGCTTGTGAGAGGGAGGCTTCGGGCCTGGCTGCTAGTGCTCCCTGCGGGGACCCCAGGTGCAGAGCTTACTCTAGAGCAGTGACCGCTGCCGCCCTGCGATGCCCGAGCCCGGGGCGGGCTGACGTGTGGTGGGGGGTGCCGGCCTGCGGTCACACGTAGGGCGACACCCGCTTTGGTGGGCACGTCCTTCCTGAGAACACCAGCTTCTCCAGGCGGAGGGGGCGGTGGCACACTGGCCTTCGACAGCACCGCCAAAAGCCAGACCGCGCTCTGCATGGAAGACGCTCGGACGGTCACGGTTAGCAAACGGAACAGGGTCCGGCCAGCCTGGGCCTGCCGGCCAGCACCAGAGCCCAGAACTCCCCGCCCCTCGGGCTGTGTTAACAAATGGCTCTCACGGGGACAAAAGCCCAGCCCCCGAGGCAGGGCCCTGGCCACACTACCCCTCCCCGACCCGCACTGCCGTGTGACCGTTCTGGGCCCCGGGGTGCAGACAAAGCCCACCGGGGTGCGAGGAGTCCAGGCCAGCTTGTAGTGGGGCTGCCTGGTGTCCTACCGCCTGTGGCCTTGTGCCCACCTGTCCACCCCGCCTGTAAGAGGGCGTGATGCCCGGAGGGGCCACGGCTGTCCTGCACACACGGTCACCCGCGGGCCCACTGATGATGCCGTGAGACCCACCCCCGAGCCTGTAACCCAGGTGGGGCAGGGGGGAGACAGGCTCCTGTCACTGCTCTGGGGACAGAGGACCATAGCACTGACAGTGCCCAGGACCGGCCTGAGCTCCTGGAGATGGCGGCAGAGGTCCTGGCAGTGGGGACGAAATGCACGTGCACAGCCAGAATCTGCGTGGTTTCCTGCCAACCACCTGCAGTGACCTCCGTCACCTAGAGGCCAGCCCCCTTTCGGCCCAGACTAGCACGTCCCCCTAACCCCACCGGCCGTGCCCCACACTCTGCGAGGGATCGTGGAAATTCCTCACGGTTCCCTCTGCTCGCTGGGTCCCCGTGCTTGACCCCAGCTCCTCCGGGCGCCCTCGCCGTGAGCACGCGGCATCGAACGGGGTCTGGCGGCTTCTTCCTTGAGCTGGGAACCTTTGGAGGGGTTAAGAGACCCCGTTTCTTGTACAAATGAAAGGTAAGTGACTGGCGAGGTGTCGGTCACGGACCACCGTGCAGAGCTAGCCTCTGCGTCAGTGAGGGGAGCGAGCCTCGGGCTGAGGGAGTGGGGGACGGTGCTGGCGTCGCGGGGCAGCGGCTGGGAGGCACGTGGCACAGGCTGGAAGCTGAGGGGCGTTCTGAGCAGACAGGTCGCCCCTTCAGGAAGCCCCCGTCCAGGAAGCAGCCTCGGGCCAGTGGCTGGTGCGACCTCAGGACGGGGCACAGGACACCAGGAGCGGTGCACGTCCCAGCTCTGTCCGTGGACGGGAAGCGGTGGATGCAGGTTCTCGGGGACCAGGGACCGTCGGGCCCTGAGCCAGTTTCACTTCGGGCCGAGGAGTGCGACACTCAGGGCTGAGGGGTGACGGACCAGAAAGAAAAACGAAAATCTCACCCACCGTACGCGTGATTCAGAGTTCGGACGGCTCAGTGTCAATGTCCCCCACGAGATGTGTTTTTGGGGAGTAGCCCCTGGAATAAAAGCCCGCAATGCTAGAGCAGCAGCCAGACACGTGATGGGCACGCCAGGGTCACCCGTGTCAGCTGGGACCAGGTCTGGCCCCGCCTCCCGGGGCCGCAGGGGCCACTGCACAGCAACGGGGTCTGCACCCAGGGGCTCAGCCGAGCTCATCCAGGGTGTGCCTGAGCCCCCCCAACTCTAAATCCCACTGTACACACGTATACGTGCGTGTATGCGCATGTGTGTGCATGTGTGCATGGGTGTATGTGTGCACGTACGCGTGCGTGCATGTGCGCGTGTGTACGTGTGTACATGTGTATGCGTGCATGTGCACATGTGAGTGCATTGTGCTCATATGTGCGTGTGTGCACCTACATGTGTGTGCATGTGTGTGCACGCGTGCGTGTGCGTGTGTGAAGACACGCTTCCTTTCCTGGACTGTAAAACAATCCCGTGCATTTAAAAGCCTCGGGCTCAGGACCTCGAGTGACCAGAGCGGGCTGCGTGGAGTGTCGAGCCCCGGTCTGTCCCTTGCAGCCTCTGCTCCTGCTCAGCCTGAGCGCTCAGTAGCAGGACGAGGGCCCGGCCTCACTGGGGCCGACTTGGGCAGCCTCAGCCCCCGGGGCCCCGTCCCCACCACCCCCGATGGTCCCCGTTTGTTGGAAACCTGTGGCTTCGGCTCCGACATCAACTTGGCCTCCCAGGCCGAGCCCTGCTCCTCTTCCTTCGACCCCGAAGTCTGCCCTCGGCCGTCCGTGTCCCCGACCCGAGTGGAGCCAGCCGCGGCCCTGTCTCAGTCCTAGGCCGTGCAGCAGACACCCAGACGTGCTCAGAGGTGTCCGGCAGTTTCGAGCAAGCATCTCCCCAAGGAGACCGTGTCCTGGTGGTTCGTGCGTGCGTGTGATCCTGGGACGGCGTCGGCTGCACCCCAGACGTCCGAGGTCCTGTGCACTTTTGGACCAGCTCGTCCATGGCTAACAACCTGCTGGGATTTGGGCAAGAATCGGGTTAAAGCTAAAAACCGGTTTAGGGCGAGTTGCCGTCTCGAGCAACATTGTGTTCATCTTGTATCCAACTGTTAGCTTAGTTTTAACAGACTTTTGTTTGCTTTTTTTGTCTATTTGTTTTGCATCCTTAGAATTTTCTACATTGATTAGAAGGTTTTAAACAAAAAAATTTAATTTGTTTAATGAATGTAGAACTATTCAGGTTCGTTCTTGTCGAGTGAACTTGGGTAGTTGGTGTTTTTCAAGGAGCTGGTCCCCTCCATCTAGGAGTTAAATTCACAGTAGCGAGGAGGTGCTAGTCATCATCACCCTCTGTTGTCTGTGTGGCCTGAATGTCCCCTTTCATTTCCGATGCTGATATTTTGTGTCTTCTCTATATCTTTGTTGGTCTTGCTAGGATTTGATTGACATTTTCAAAGAACCAGCTTTAGTTTTTTGGTTTTTTCCTATTGTCACACTGTTTTCAATGTCGTCAGTTTCTGTTCTTCGTTTATTATTTCCTTCCTTCTGCTTGATTCGAGTTGATTTTGCTTTTTCTTTCCCAGACTTTAAGGTAGAAGTTTAGATGACCGATGTGAGACTTTCTTCTCTTATAGCATTTAACGCTGTAAGTTTCCCTGTAAGCAGCGCTTCAGTAACATACAGTACATATTTATAGGTTGTATTTTTACTTTCATTCCATTCAAAATCATTTCTAACTTCCCTGGAGACGTCTGTTTTGACCCATGTATTGTTTAGAAGCATTACATTCAATGTGCAAACATTTGGACTTTTTTCCAAATTTACTTTTGTTTTTCATGTCTAGGTTAATTCCATTTTGCTGGAGAATATAATTTGTCTGCTTCGAGCCTTCTGCATTTGTCAGTGTTACTTTGACGGGGCCGGACGTGCTCTGTCTCGGTGGATGTTCCCTGTGCTCTTAGAATGTGCGTTCTGCTGTCGTGAAGGAAATTGTCCCGTAAATGCCCATTAAGTCATTTATCGATAGTGTTTTCCAAATCCTTGGCATCCTTGCTGATTAGGCCTCCCCCTTTTTTACTGATAACCGAGAGAGGAGGGTCGGAGTCTCCAAGTGTAACTGTGGTTTTTCCACTTCTCTCTTTAGTTCTGTTGGTTTTCGGTTCGTACATTTGGGGTTATTAACCCTTCTCGGTGATGTCACCCTTTCCCGCTGTGCTGTCCGCACCATCCCTGGTCGTTTGCCTTGTTCTGAAGCCTGGTTTTCCTGATGTTAACACAGTTTGTCCGGCTTTAAATTTTTTTAACTAAACATTTTGTTTTGGGATAATTTTAGATTTGTAGGAGAGTTGGTTATTTGGTATTAGCCGTTCTTCCTGCTAAAACCCTTTTTTATTGTTCTAGAACCTAGTCCAGGAGACCACGCTGCATCCGGTCATTATTTCTTCCTGGTCTACTCTGGTCTGTGACAGCATGTCACTTGTCCCTTCTTCATCGATAGCTCGGCCGTTTGGAGCTGACATCAGACGTGCCAATGGGGGTCTTCCGAGTCTCCGCTTCCTATACCCGGTGAAAATAATGTCCTCATCCCATCAGGCTCTCGTGGCTGTTAAACCAGATAATGCGGTGAGCGCCTGGCGCCGTGTGCTCGGCACGTGGCGTGGGCTGAAAGCACAGCTGGTTTCCTCTCCTCCGGGCACCTGACAGCTTATTTGTTTCCAGGGAGCAGATTCGCGCCTGTTGTAAGCAGGACACGCAGTTCTTGTTTTCAGGAAGCCGCGTCCTGGTTATAAATACATCCGAAGGGATGATACAAAGCCTTCCAGGGAATTTCTGTCCCTGACATGGTGACAGCTTTCACGTGACCCTCTGAGTGCCCCTCAAAGGGCGGAGGGCCCAGGAGCATCCGAACGGAGTGGATCAGAACAGAACAGGAATCGGTCCAGGTTCCTCTCTTTCTCAAGAGCTGGCGCTTTGTCGTTCCAGAGGGAAATACTACGAACTCAGCTTCTTCTGAAACTGTGACCCGCCAGGTCAAAACAGCCTCGGTCTGTGGAAAAATAAAGTTCTCGGATTCCCTCGACACCTCTTCCTTATTCTTTGGACGCCGAGATGAGCCGATTGGCAGAGACTGGGGGTCAGGTGGCCACCCTGACCTCGCCCTGCTGCCCGGGGTCCCCACTGGCCTGCTGGCCCATCTGACCTCAGGCCGGGTGGCCAGTGTCGATTCGCCACTGCGGTTGCTTCGGCTCTTACCTTAGAGCGTGAGTGTCAGTCACCCCTTTGCTCTGGGTGGCCCTGCTCTGAGGAGTGTTATTGCGTCACTACTTGGAGCTTCCTCTGGAGGTGAATGTGGTGTTTTGACTCATCGATGTAAATATTACAGAGAAACGAAATCATCAAGTTATAAAATGTTGGGTCTGGATTGGAAGGTGGAGTGTTTTGCCCAGAGTTGCAAAGCTCGTTCACAGACCAGTCAAGACCAGACCTGTTTTCTGGTTCTCAGTTGGTTCAAATTTTTCGCTATTTTGTACCTTAAAGTTACCGCCATGAGAACAACCCTCTGTCCCCCCTCCCCGCCTTCCGCCTCTGCTAATAAGTGGTTACGGGAGAGCCTGGTGGGCGGCTGTCCGCCCCGTGGAACCGTGGGGCACGTCGTCACATCGCAGCCGTGACCGAAGCTTCTGCCAGACTCCCCGTCTGCGGCGAGACCACGATCTTCCTAATCCCGCCTCGTTGTGCTCGGCCTCGCGACAGCCCGCAGCCCGGAACAGGACAGGGGCCTGAACGTCACCGCGTGAAACCCGCCGCAGGCGCAGACGCCGCCTCCCGTGTCCACTGACACCACCGGTCTTTCTCCCCCACGTCAGGTTTAATGCTGATGCCGCAATCATGTGATCTGCACGTCAGCCGGGAAAACTGCTGCCGAATCTGTTTATTCATTCAACACGGCTAACTACCTGCCGCCAGCTTCTCTGCCGGGTGCTGTGGGCCCGTGAACCCTGGCTCCCTCTTCCTAGGGCCTGGAAGGGTGACAAGAACCAGTGAGGGGGGTGCTGAGGCCCAGCCAAGCGTACCAGTGGGCGTCACGGCACATGGGGGGCCACCGGCCCCCAGGAGGGTGGGGCAGGGGACTGGCGCAGCTGGAGTCTCGGGCCCCAGCTGCTCCGCCTTTGGGGCCCGTTTGCGGGGTGTGCGCTCACGCATTGTCTCCGCAGAGGACGAGCAGCCTGCAGGCCTCGCCCACCACGTCACACCCGGCGCTGCCTCGGGGTGGGGCCGTCAAAGCCGGGACCCGACACCTGTCCCCACCGACAGTGGACACATGTTGCGTCACCTCAAGACGGTTTTGATTCTAAGGAAACCTGAAAGAACGGAGCTGCACGGGCACCTTGTCCCGCGTCTTCGATTATTCCGCAGAATACGTGTTGAAAGGGGAATCGAGTGTGTCAAAGGAAGTGGACGTTTCAAGTCCCTCGAACCCACGTTGCTAGGTGCATTTCCAGAAGGACACCTGACACCGTCACGTAGTTTGCTGGAGCGACCTCGTCAGCTCTGAGAACGTCACAAGCTCTCGTTCATCTCCTCTGCTTTTCTCTTTTCTGGGTTTTTTTTTTTTTTGAGTTTTAGGGAGCCTAGTAGCCCTCTCAGCTTCTTGGCATTTGAGGTTCAACAGAGAGATTTGGGGTGTTTTCTCTCTCATTAGTAAATTAGTTCGATCTGAGGAAACACAGGGGTTGGGTGACCACGTCTATGGCTGCCAAGCGAAGGGTTCTCAACCTTCCGACGAGTCCTCGCAGAGTGTCCACCCAGTGGGGTGGGGGTGACGCTGCCACAAGCGGCCATCTGAGAAAATCCTGGCGGTGGGTGAGAGACTCGGATAAGCTCAAGCACCCGGCGTCCCCACCTCGCTCAGAGTGGCGGCCTCTTCCCCGAGCTGCGGTGAGCGCCGAAGCAGAGCTTCCGAGCGGGAGCGAGAGATGCTCTGTCCTTGCGAAGAGCACAGCGGGCCGGTCCCCACGGCTGCCCCGCCCTCCTCACGCGACGGGACCGGCCGGCGGTTCCCAGAGGAGAAAACTGGAGTGTGAGAGGCTCCCCGGCTCCCCCGAATTACGCGCTTGGAGCCGACGGCGTCCGTCGTAAATGACGCTCTCTGACCTGCGGCCCTGTGGCCTTCCCGTGACGTCACGCACTTGCTGGTTGACACACACGACGCCACGTGGGCGGGTTCCCCGCTGGTCTGGGGCTCAGCCTTCCCCCGCGGCCGTGCTGGTGCGGAGAGCCGGGTCCGCGTGACGGGAGCGCACAGCTGGCTGCACCTCATCCCGGCCGCACGTGGCGGCTTCCTGAGCACGCGGCCGACGTCCTCGTCACCGATGTCACTGTCCCTGCCTGCATTCTGGGCTGGAAGAACATGACGCTACTGAAGGACGTCGTCGTCCTGGAACTTTCAAATTCCGTGCGGTTCGGTGCATTCCTTCCTGAAGAGTCGGGAAAGCTCTAAGATAAAAAAAATCGGTATGGGAGAGACCCGAAACAACCACGGAGACAGACAAAGACCCCAAACAGGTGTCTGGGTCCGACTTCGGAAAACCGCCTGGTCGTTAGCAGGCTTTTTGTCCACAATGACGGAGAACTTAGCACGTGCTGTGCTGGGGTCTGGAGGAGACACAAGCCCAGCGTCAAAGCCCTTATGTGAGGCGGGGCTGTCAGAAAGACACGCAGTGAGCCCGCAGCGTGGGAAAGCACGCGGCGGCCCCCGCTCCCCGCTGGCGGCGCCATGTCAGTGCCGGCGACAGCCCTCGGACCCCGCAGAGACTCCCAGACGCGGCTCTGCCTTGAAGGGCGGCCAGGAAGCCTGCAGAGCCGAGGGAGAGCTGGCGGTCCCGGAGGCAGGAGAGGCAGGCGCAGGTGTCGTCACCGTCACGGTCCCCGTCACGGAGGGGCAAGCTCGCTGGCCGTGAGTGAAGTGCAGGCTGCGAGCGGAGGCTTTCGAGCGAGCGAGACCAGGGGCCGGCCGGAGCCCGACGCGCGCTTTGTCGAAGTCCCTCGCTTTCTTTTTACAAAAAAAAAAAAAAAATCTAATAGTCCCGGCTCAAGCGTAACAGGCTAATTTATGCCAACAGACAGTGTCCGAAAACCTCAGGGCCAGTAATTCAGTGTGGCCCTCGGTGTGACCAGAGGGCGAGGTCACACGGAACACGCACGGCCGCTTGGCAGAAGGGGACGTTTCTCTGAGGCAGAAGGGCGGTGGATTCGGGCGGGACGGACGCTGGGTGTCACGCATCGCCGTTAACGAAAGTTCTCGTCGGTGAGGATGAGGCGGGCGAATTCTACTGTGATGCCTCAGGGAGATGCCGGAAAGATCCCAGGCCTCTGACGGTGACATGGTTCTATCGATAAGTGTATTTTAAATGCGAAATAAAGCGCCAATACACAAACCAGCAAAAAAACCCAAATATATGAATTTGTAAGCGATTGTGAAGCAAATGCCCTCATTGCCGCCACCCGGGCCAACGACCGGGCCTGCCCCGCACCCCAGACGCCACCCAGACGACGTCCCAGTCGTGACGGTGAGAGTTCGTGACAGAAACTGCAGCTGCATTGGAGCTGGGAAGGCCTGTAGGGAGGACTCTCATACCCCGAACAGGGGACGTCGGTCACAGGCCCCAGCGGGAAGGTCCCCAGCTCTGCCCAACGGCGAAGTCGACGGCTTCCGTCCAGCAGGAGGAAGGAGGGTTTTCCCTTCGCCCAGCAACGAGCCCAGCCAATGGCAACGCCGCAGCTCAGCCGTGGCGAGGCCGTCTCACCCGAACGCTCACTCTCCTCGGGCCGACTTTTATCTGCCTCTTGCCGGTGGCTTCCTCGTCCCACCCTCCTTCCTGTAAAAGCCTCTGTCCCGTGTGCTCCCTGCGAGCATCGCTCTGCGGGAAGGAGGGTTTTCCCTTCGCCCAGCAACGAGCCCAGCCAATGGCAACGCCGCAGCTCAGCCGAGGCGAGGCCGTCTCACCCGAACGCTCACTCTCCTCGGGCCGACTTTTATCTGCCTCTTGCCGGTGGCTTCCTCGTCCCACCCTCCTTCCTGTAAAAGCCTCTGTCTCCTGTACTCCCTGCGAGCATCGCTCTGCTGGAAAGGAGGCTGCCCCATTCGCGAACCGCTTCATAAAGCCAATCAGATCTTCGGATTCACTCGGCTGAATTTTGCTGAACGAAACTCTCCCCAGCGGTGGCCACTGCCTTTCCTTACAGCTTTATCACCCAGATGTGCGTCCCCGGGCCCTGGCGTCTGGTCTCATATGTTTTTTAAATTTTTTAATCTGCATTGGAAGCATGTCTTCTAATATGCAGACCCCCTCCAGTCCTCATGTTCCTGAAGGTTATTTAGGAGGATCCAGGTTGTTCGGCCTGTGGTCTCTTGCTGAGCGCACGCCCACGGCTCGGGTCCACCGCCCTGCCTGCCGGAGCGATCCAGGGGTCCCATGATCAGAGTCGGGCTCCGAGGCCTTTGGGAAGGTGCTGAATGAATAGTGTTCCGCTCTGTGATCACAGGGCCCGTAACGTCAGCTTACCTCGTTTCGCGACGCCGGCAGACGCTGATGCCAGATGCCCAGATCCGCCGGTGCGTTGGGGTGCATGAACTGGGGGTGCTCTACCTCTCGCGCTTCTGTGTTCGTTTCTCAGTCAGAATACTTTTCCAGAGCAGTACTTCCTCTCGTTGACTATCCGCTTTCCCATGGTCGTCCAATCTGTAAAGAGGAGGCAGGAAAAACGTTTGATTCCTTCCCCGTATTCACTAATTTTCAGATAACGAAAGGTCTTTCAGTTTCTGAAAGTGACGAGTGACTTCTTGGACATGTTAGAGTGAACTCTAGGATTCACCATGCGGGACGGGCTTCCATCGACGGCATCACTGACCGCACCGCCCCCGAGGTCTCGTGCTTTGCCGGCGGGGACTCGGGGACCCTTCCGCGGCTCCGACTCCTCGATGGCTGCCTTGCGGTCTGCTGGGGCGGGGTGCTCCGGGCTCGCCTTTCCCGCTACGGAGTGGGATCCGCAAGCTCCCTAAAAAGCCCTAGTTTCTCTAGTATAAAGTGACGCTTGGGCGCAGCCACCTGGGGCCCGCGTGCGTGCGTCGCTGTTGGCTCGGTCATCGTCCCAGGAAACGTCGCTGAGCAGAACTGTGACGTCGCATACACTGCCTCTTTGAAGAGAGGGCCCCACGCGTCACGCTCGTGTCCGATCCCAGGACGACGGCGGTGCGGCCGCTTCCCCTCTGTGCCGCTTCGGGCCTGGGGCTCTTCGCTCAGCACGGTGTCTTTGGGGTTCGCCTGTGTCACAGCGTGTGACAGGCCTCCTTCCCCTCGACGGCGAGTGGCATGGCCTGTGCCCCGCGGCCGGTGCGAACACGAGATCCTTCCCCGCCTGTGCGTCTCCGTGCGACTCGCTAACTCTCACATTCAGGT